CTTGAGCTTTGCTATCCTGGGAAACTGTACACTATAGCAAGGAAAGCTCCAACACACACATCTGAGAGCACACATATATTGTCTTACCCTTGAAAACATTGGCATTACCAGGGGCTGGTGACATAGTGACTAAGTCACAGGCAGTATCTGAACTCGACTCTGGAGTCTAGGCATCTCACCAGCAGGGTTGAGAGAAACAATGAATTCTCATATAACGAAGTGTGTATGTGGGTCCCAAAGGACAGAGCAACCGATGCCATCCAAAGACGTGGAGAAGAGCACCAGGAGAGTATTTCTGTATAAGCTGGGTCACAGTGGAGGTGCAAAGGCCTGGGTTAGGAGTACCTGGGTTAGGAGTGCCAAGGTGTGTGTGTGTGTGTGTGTGTGTGTGTGTGTGTGTGTGTGTGTGTATGTGGGGGGGGATATGGGTTTTAGCAGCATTGTTTAACCTTAAGAGTGACTGAAGACAGTGGGATCAGGAGTCTAGAATAAAGTTATGAAGTATTTCTATGCCTGAAGCATGAATTGAAATCTCATTTCCCTCCCAAGAAGGCACTGAGAGGTGCCAGGTAACAGAATGGCTCATGTTAAAAGAAGGTTCTTGGTTCAGTGTGAGGATGAGGGTAGTGGATACCTAGGTTAAATACATGGGTGAGAAGATGAGAAGCCAGAAGGGAACGGCAAAGCTATGGACAGTGCCAGGTTGACTGCAAACTACCCCCACCCTGGGGTTGGTCTAGGGTCATCTTACAAAGTAAAAGAAGGTGCCTGTTGTTCCTCCAGCCCCACATTAGGGTATGCTTGGCCTGGCTAATAGCACAGCTCTGCTTTGGTCTCCACCCATCCATCCTGTAGATGAAGCAACCTCATTTATTGCTGTCCCTGAACTCCCTAGGTGCTGTCTGAGCCAAGGCATCTCTTAAGTGCATGGATGGGCACTGTCTGTACAGGAGTCAAAGGGCAGGTATGCACATGACATGGCCACTGTGATATCAACAAACACATGTGACAAGTTAAGGATGGACCTGCTAATCAACTGACAAACGTGACTTCATGATTTGGGCAAGTTGTCTAACTGCTTTAGGCTTCAGTTTCTAGTGGTTAAATGGAAAAGGTCAAACTATCTGCCTTGTTGAGTGGTAGGAATTACACGATGTAATGCATGAGCAATGCCACTTTTGGTATGTACAGAGTCTACCCTCATCATGAAACCCATGAATAGCTCAACGAGTATTAATACTAAGAAACAAGAAGTCCATTTTAACCTGGGAAAGGGCACTGGCCAGGCATGCTCTGGAGATTGTTGCTACGTGGGAATAATGATGGACAGCAGCAAGGGTGCTACTTAAGTCCCAGAAGCACAGAGGTTAGGTACTTACCTCCCATGCCATATGGGGACACATGTTCATAGGATGGGATGTGGCTGTAAGAGGGATTCACAAGCAACTAACTGCTCCTTGCTCCCTTCCTTTGACTTTTCCACCTCTCCCTGATCCTTTGTGCTGTAGAGAAGCCCTTGCCAGGTTCAGGTTAACCAGCTGCAGGAGAGTAAAACCCACTGTAGGTTCTTGTCAAAGAAGGAAGGAGATGGGCTCTGGATGACAGAGACCACACCCAGTGCATACACTTCTGGCCACAGTAGCATTGTTCTGAACCATTTTCTTTTTTTGTTTTTGTTTTCTTCTATCAAAGCTTGGTCCAGGAAACCCACTGAGAGAGATGTGAGATAGTCAACTGTGTCATCTTCAGGACCAGCTTTGAATAAACCTGTTTCCTTCTGTAGAGATGGCTACCTGGTTCCAGCAGGTATTGGAGAAGGTTCCCAGCCTGGGGGTGTTTCCTGCCCTCCCCCAGCCCTGGTGGCCTGCCCACAGGACCGGGTGGAGAGGAGCAAAGTCCACCAGGCCACTGAGCAGCTGAAGCAGAATGGCAGTGAGATGAGCAGTAGGAGGAAGCCATGTCTAACACGCGTGCATAGAAAGGCATTCTGGGTGAAGGACAAGGCTGGGGCCAGCCGGGAAGGGTGGGTGAAGAAAAGCAGCTGATCCTGGTGACAGCTTTCCCTTGTGGCACTTGTGGCACTTTAGAACAAGGTGGAGCTGAAGTCTGGACTGTTTTCATGGCATGACGAGAAAGTCAAAGGCCATGAGAAATGCCTGTGGCAGCCACTATGGGAGCTGGCCAAGAAGAACTGCATCTCTGCCTAAGGTCACAGGACCTTCCTCAACCCTGTAGCAAACACTACCCTCCAGCAGTCCTCCACTGTCTCCTTCCAGCTCTTCACAGCATTTAGTGCCATTCAAAAATCAGTGGCTTAATCATCTGTGTCCTGTTTGAAATTGTCTAATTTGATGTCAAATTTTAGGATCTAGGACATTTCCTGGCACACAGTATGTCCTCAGGAAGTTCTGGTGGAAGGGGGAGTGCCATCATTTAGAGAGTCCCCCCCCAGTCCTCCCAACCCCCGTGGTCTGAGTCCATGCTACCTTCAAGGAATAAGCCAGTCACCCCCTGCTCTAGTGAGAGTCCCAGTGTTTTGTAAAGATCATCTTCTGGGACTCTGTTGGTTGTGGATCTGAGGATGTTGCCCTTTGCCCTACTTCAAGGGCAAGCATACATTTGGTCCCAGGAATTGAGTGAATAGATCCCTCCTAGGTGTGAGGGGGAGGCTGTGTTGGTCAGTTAGATTTCAACTCATTCGTCTAGGACAAGGACTGGGGAAGGTTTCCTTAGCATAGGAGCTTTTACTAGAGAAAGGCAACGAAGACTGGGAGCTGTCACCTCTTCCTCTCTCTAGAAGTGTGCACAGTCACAGCAGTGTCACCGACCACTTGTGTCTTTGCTGCTCAGAGACTGAACATACCCTTCCTTAAGTGTCTGCTCACTGACTTTTAACAGAGGGTCTCATGTAGCCCAGGCTGGCCTTAAATTCACTACATAGTTGAGGATGAGCTTGAACCCCTGGTTCTCCCATCTCAGGTACTGGGATTGTGGGTGTGAGCTACCACACCCAGCTTTTCCCTGTCACTTAATGCAGGCACCTTCTTGGCCTTGAGTGTTCCCAAGAGCTTGGGTTAGACAGTTACAAAGTTTTCTTTTAAAACAAAACAAAACAGGCATTTGTGATATGTGTAATGTTTTTACATACACACCATTGAGCTTTTCCTCGTGGATGTGGCATGATCTATACCATCCCAGGCTGCTGTATCCAAATATATCAAACCATCAAATGGTCCAGCCCCTGAACGAACACACACACACACACACACACACACACACACACACACACACACTGCTTTAGTCTTGTTTTGTTTTACTAATTCCTTTCTAAGGAATTGAATCCATTAAGACATTTCACGCTCAGCCAGCATGTTCGATTTCTAGACAGATGCTTAAAATAAAGAGGAGGAGTTTTGTCTGATACCTTTATTTATATGCAAAACAGCGCACCAGTCATGAGATATGAAAACTCGTCAGGTAGAAACCAGGTTATATCTATCTTCACTACAAAATATTGCATTATATAAAGCAACAGAGACACACAAAAAACCCTGAAAAAGACTAAAATCTTTGGATAGCAGATGTGTTTTTTTTTTTTTTTTTTCTTTTTTCCTTTCTCCCTTGTCTCTAAAATACACCTCTTGCTTTAAGAGTTTCACAGCTGAGAACATGAAACATTTCCAGGTCATAGACTTTTCTTTTTGGTTGTCACAGAGGAAAGTAATTCTGAATTCTTTTTTCTTTTTTTAGGAAAATAATGTAATTTCCTAAAATTATCCCACGCAAAAACGTCACACACACGCACACACAAGAAGCTATTCGCCTTATAAACAGTTTGTAAAGTACTTTTCAGACAAAACTACAGGCAAGAATAACAACACTTAACTTTTTATAAAACTATAGTGGTGAAGGGCTAGTGTTGCTGATCTCACAAAGAAACAACCAACTTCTTAATATATAAAATATGCTTAGAAACAGGGAGATGTGGGAACTCTCTTATACAAGTGCAATATAATCAGAAAAAAAAAAAAAAAGAGGAAAGACCACAAGATAATCTCAACAAACACATAAAAAGTTAGACACAATTATTTCACAGGAAAAGTGTAAACACTTGACTATAAATAAATTGGCACGGAGTATCCAAAGTAAAATTATCACCACTCTGAAAAATAAATGTCTTGAAAAAAAATACTCTACTCCTTCTAACATAAATAAAAATAGGTTGTCTTTCTTCTAACTGCATCTATGGGTCCACATGTTAAGGTCACAAATAGATGGGGTGTTTTTGGATATTTAAAGGGGCACTTTACCCAAAAAAGCAATCAGATGTTACATTTTCCATTTAAGTATGGGTTTTTCTATCTACTTTAGTGTTCTCTCTTGGGCTTAAAGTCTCACCAAGCACAAATCCTCCCACAGTGTGTCTGTCTACTTTGAATTTATCTTTTTTTTTTAAAAAGCCTCACCAAATATTCAGGATTTTATTTGTATTTGAATGTGATTTTTCATTTTGACCAGGTAACAGAAAGTTTGCTGGGATAACTTTCTGTGTCTTAATCTCTGTGTGGAAAATATTTTCATTTTTCCTTTCCCCTCAAGGTTTGGTGTTTTCTCAATTAGAAAAATCCCCAATAGTCCAAAGCTATTAGCCTGGGTTGAGCTTCTGCCCTCATTCTTTCAAATCATGAAGATGTATGGGATATAAATATAGGGGAACTCAGTAACCACCCTTAAGGAGATCGATCCTAATACACCTAGGGGAAGGCCCAGGAGCAACTCACCCTAGGGTGCCTCCAGAAGAATCTTCCAACCAGGAAAATACCCCTGTGACCCCCAGGTCTTTCTGTCCACTCTACCTCCCGGGCTGGAAAACGTTCCCCTGCATCCTTGTTGACCAAAGAGAAAGGACTGCAAGCTTTCCCTGGTGTCTCTGGGAGACCCTCGGGCCTGGCAATCCGGGTGTGTTGCCTCTGGCAGACCAGACACCCGACTGGCGGTGGCGTCCTGTGGCGTCCCCCGCCCTACACGTCCAGGACGTGGTTGAGATAGGAGATGTAGCAGATGGCCAGGCGCAGGATCTCGATCTTGGAGAGCTTCTTGTCCGGGGGCAGCGTGGGCAGCAGTTTGCGGAGCTCGGCGAAGGCCAGGTTGAAGGCCTCCACGCGGATGCGCTCGCGGGTGGCGTGAGCCGAGCGGTACTTGGCGGTCGCGCGCCTGCGGCGGCGCTTCTCCTCGCGGCTCAGCTGCTGCGGATGCGGGTAGAGTGCGGCCCGGCTGCCGCCCTTGTTGTCGCCGTCCACCTCCTCTACCGGCTCCAGGTCCGACACGCTGCCCAGCACCTTGGCGTCTGCGCCGCCCAGAGACTCGGGGTCCGAGTGTGTCGAGCTGGGGTGATCTGAGTCGGCGGCTTGGTCCGGACTCAGCATCATTTTGGAGGCTGATGGGGAGTCAGAAAGTCAATAAAAGGAATGACTCTTCATTTGCAATGAGGGGTGGCGGGCAAGGGCCTAGGAAGCCTGGACTCATAGAGGACCCTTGTCCCAGGGATCCCTTCTCACACCAGGAGAGGCATGGCTGGGAACGGAACCCGCACCAGAGCGCATCCCCAACCCCACACCAAAGTCTGCAGATGACCGCAGCAGTCAGTGGTCCTGGGGTTGGAGAACGACTGGGGGCCTGCGGGGCCTGCTGGCATCTTGTGCTTCCTCTGGTCAAACATCAGCTGCTCTATCCCGCCCCCTTGCTCCGTCCCTTTCCCAGACATACGAAAAAATCTCGATGGATGGATGTTTCTGGGTTTGAATGGAGATGCAGAGCGTGCTTCCCGCCCGAGGGCCTGAGGCAAGGCAGCTGGAGACTCCCAGAGCCTGGGAGTCTGGGCTGTGCTAGGGTGAGGGCGAACCCCATCCCGGAACCTAGGCCCGGGACAGAAAGGCTTCCGTGTCCCCCCTCGCCTTTCTCCGAAATAATAAAGAAATGACCGAACACATGTGTTCGGTCCTTTCAAAAGAAAATTGACTCCTCGGCCCTCACACGCTCCCGGAGCACCATCTGTCACGCAGACTGCCACACACATTGGGGACCTAGGGACGTGGATCACACAATGCCCGGCAGTCTGCCGACTACCTCCCGGGGAAACTCAGGCGGCTGGGTCGCTCCGGGCGGAGAGGTTGGGGAGTACAGAAGAGGGATGGACTCCGAGGTGCGGGTGCGGGATGCCCGGGGCGCAAGCTGCATCTCTGCGGGTAAAGTTCGTGAGCTCCCAGGATCCGAGCTCGGCAGCACACTGATGACCCCAGGAGGCCCGGTCGCGGCCCGGCGTTTAGCTCGCCCCCCCCCCCGAAAAAGACACCTCCCGCTGGCTTCTCGGGAGCCTGGAGGAAGGGCCCGGCAGCGCGCCCTCGGGAACCTCTGGGCTTGCCGGGCATCTGGGGACGGCGGGTGGGGACAGGCACCTGCCCCAAATGAGCGCTTGGGCCTTGGCCGCCAGGAGGGACGACCGGGCAGACGCCCCTGGTCCCTGGTGTAGGCTCCAGTCAGGTTGTGAGTTAGAGGCTAGCTCCAGAGAAACAAAAGCCAGGGTATGTGGGTTCGGCTCCAGGCCATGCACTTGCGCAGGAGCGAATTGAGCTCGCAAACAGCTTTCCTTGCAAGGAAAACCCATCCTCAAAACAACAATAAATGATCCAAATGAACCGCATGCGATCCCCTACGGGCTTTTCTCTACGTTTATAAGTGAAACAACTGGCACCTACGCAGTTGGCATGAGGGAATAGAAACATAGGGAGAAAAAAAAATCATAACAAACCACGACATAGTTACAGTTCGGACAAAAAGTTCTCGAGTTGTCCTCCAAGCGTTTAAATTCTCAGGTTATTTTAATAGTCATAAATAGTATTTCTAGTGGGCATTTGTGTCTGTGACTGTGAGTGGAGATGCATCTATAAACGCAGTTATGAATCAACTTAATTTCAAGAAAAAGAGATGTAGAGATGTCTTACCTTGCCAAAGCCTTGTAGATAATCTTTTCGCCAATCTTTTAGAGTTAAAATTCCGGGGAACAAGAAGGAGAGGTCCTGGCAAATATTAAAAGCAGCCAATATTTATTACATTCACAGATGAAAAAGCAGCTGTCATCTCGCCGACCGCCTCACCCGAGCGACGGTGTCTTAGGAGGTGGGTGGTATGATTGCTCGCTTAGTTGATAGCTTGAAAACGCAGGTTCCTTTTAATTGTTCTTAAACATTTCAGGAAATTCGTTGATGATCTTTTTAAGTCGAAGTGTTGAAGTCTCACACTTGCCCCTCTTCCCGGGGCTCTATAAATAACAAAAGAGATGCAGAGATAAACACAATCACACCAAAGGGCTGATTCCTCCACTTTCTAATAGCAAAATAATCAATAAGAAAGATGGTTAAGATAAAATTCCATTCCTTGAGGGTTCCTTCCCTTCCCTTAATCGGGTTGTGGCTAACCTGGGAAGCTCGGGCAGGGATGGATGAGGCTCTGAAGTGAGTTCTTTTTTTTCTTCCCGATAACGCTTTGTTCAGCCCATGTCTCCCCAGTTCCCAGGAACACAATACAGTAACTAGGGGCTAAGGTTGCCTCTGTCTTGTCCCTCAATGACTTATATGTTGTATAAATAGACACCTATTTTCCAGTTTCAAAGTCTTTCAAGGCTTGGTTACACCCTTTCCCCTACCCCACTCCCTCCCCTCTTTACCTTGTAGTAAAATATATATACTCAGTAGCTTGGAGATGCTTGAGAGAGGTTGATTAGATGTGAATGTCTTCTGGAGTAACACTGACAGGAAAGCAGAGAAGGGAGAGGTTGGGAGGGCCAGAGCAAAGAGGCAGCTGCATGTGTGGCTTCTTGGCTCTTCTGGTACCAATTGATTTAGCCTGGAGATGGTAGAGGAGATAAAGGCTTAAGAAGGGGGATGGAATTTTTCCCCCCTAAATTGATATTTAATGGGAAATCCTATTGGACAGAAACCTGGACATGAGTCACTTAATTGGACTTGACATCTGTCACAGTGTGGGAGTTTTCACAGCCCAAATATTTTAGCAGATCAGATTCCCACTGAATCTGTGCCATGAAATATAGCAGTTAAAAGCAGTCCATGATAGGAACCGTAGCATCTAAACAGTGTTTAGCCATACAGGCGATTTCTTGTTTTCAGATTATTGATGCACTATTTAAGTGCAAGTAAGCACTATATGAGCATGGAAAATTCCTCTGGCATTTTGTAATCATTTTATCAATGGCTAGGAAAGTAATTGTGGGGTCATATACTATATAAGATGCTGTAATTAAGATGAAATGTTCAGATAGGCAATACTAGCATTTATTAGCAATGACATGTCTTTTTAAAAGATACTTTAATCATTACTATTAAGACTATTGATATTTTGGAGAAATGTTCTACTATGAGAGTAACTTATTAATAGATGACTTTAAAAGATTTTAACATGATAATTTAAACCATTGGTAGAATTAGGAACAGAACTCAAGTAGTTAGGGACCACGAGATAAGACAATTCTACTTTTTTAGTTATGCTTGTTTTCCCTCTGTACCCATTTATTCATTTGTTCATTGTTTGTCTTAAAATGACAGACTGTGTGTGTCAGTTATTGTACTTTGTTCTTGCCCATCTTAACATGTGAGTGGATATATTTACCTGGTGGCACTGCATTGTGCTAAAATGTAAATACAAAGTACCCCAGAATGCAATGCCTTTGCCTTATATGACCTCCAGCCCTGAATTTACATGCTTTACAAAAAATAAAGGAACTCTACTATTAGTCACTATCAATTACATATTATTTACTATTAATTACACACTGCCAGTGACACCATCAATCACATCTTCTTTCCTTCCCTCCCTCCCTCCTTCCCTCCCTCCTCCCCTTTCTCTCTCTCTCTTTCTTCTTTCTTTCTTTCTTTCTTTCTTTCTTTCTTTCTGCTATTTCAGACAAGGTCTCACTATGCAGACCTGGCTAGCCTGACCCTTACCACGGGGACCAGATTGATCTCAAATGCATAGAGATATGCTTGCCTCTGCCTCCCAAGTATTGAGATTAAAGGCACTTGTCATCACAACCAGATTTTTTTTTTAATTGATCAAGCTTAAAGGAAATAAGAGAATATTAGCCATATTCCTGTCTTCCTTTTCCTGGGGGAATATTTATGGAGAGGATGTTTTCCTCAGGGGAGGGGTTTGGCCGTGATATATATTGTTTATCTTTGTCCACATAAGCTCTGTCAGGGTAGAGGGAGAGAAGGGAATTGAGTTCAAGGAATATGGCACCAGTTCTGTTCAGGTTCAGCCTCACCTCTGCTCAGCCCAAGCTTATCCCCAACCGGAGGCAGAAACCAGCCTCAAGCAGATGGCAATGGAAACAGGTGAATAGATAAGTCCTGCCCCTGTAGGCTGGAGGAGGTGGGGAGTGAAGATGTGTGTGTGTGGGGAAGGTGGGTTCCCAGGCTGGCTAGCAGCAGCCAACACTAAACACTAACAGAAATGTACACACAGATGCGCACCTTCTGATACCTGTGCCTCCTCGCCATCCAGCACTCATACAAGCTGTCTGGCTTAATTAGGCATTTGGGCAGATGGATTGAAAACTGTGGTGGTTTTTGTCACCTGAGCTCTAGAAAGCACAGCTGCTAGGCTGGAAGTGTCCAGTGTCCCTGGTCACCCTACTGTTGGGAGTTGGATGGAGGAAAGGAAGCTCAAACCCTGGCTGGCCTGATTCTGCTATGGCTGGCGAGTACGAATCCAGACCAGTTCTCTTTTGGAGCCAGGACACTGGTAACCTGCACATTCATAAATTAATACATGGTTAAGGCCTGTAGAAGCACTCAGATCCATACACAGCTAAGCCTCGACACATCATTATAGATACAGACATGTGCTCTCACACACATGCATTCTCTCTTATGGGAAAGCTCCCATCCCTCTCCCCCTTTGCCTTTTCTAAGCCATCCAGGCACAGATGGACCCTCCTTTCACAGCCCCCCTTGGAGACTGTATACTATGCAATATGGTTCTTGGTTCCCATATTTATGCTTCCCACTAGCCTGGGACATTTCCAGGAAAGGTTTGTAGCTTATATCTTCAGCTCTCGTATCTGACCTTGACACATTATATGTGCTCAGTTCATTTATAGCAAGTAACTTCCTGTGTACAGAGGTTCCCAGGAAACCACTGGTAAGGAAGCCACTTCCACTCACAGATGCCCAGCCTCCCATTTGGATGATTTCTGTTCTTGAAAGTGAGTATAGTGAGCTTGCTGTGACACTCAAAAGATGTGTAAGTATCTGACAAAACACCAAGCACCATGCAAATTAGCTTGTCTTAAAGTGTAAGGCTAGTAAATGAGGTTAAAGCAGGGGATGCTAAGTAGTGATTTTAAAAGTCAGGTTTCCTGTCCTGTCACAAGCTAGCTGTGTAACTTCTACTGGCTAGGAGTTACTTAGCCTTTCTAGATCCCAAGTTTTCTAATCCGTAGAGTGAGAATAATGAACATAAAGAATGCTATGGCATGATGTTATTTACATCTCTTCCCCCCCCCAAAAAAAAATCAAAATAACACATGTGGTGCTGGGGAGCTACTCTTGCAAATGATTGGAGTTTGGTTCCCAGCATCCATGTTGGGTAGCTCATAATGACCTGTAAGTCCAGTTCCAGGATGATGAGACACTGCTGACCTCCATATGGGCACCTGCATTCATAAGTACATACCTACACATGCAATCAATTTAACATAAAACAAATCTTTAATAAAAGACAATACATGTATAGACTTAAATTGTTCAATGTTCTTAATAATGTTAATAATACGAGCACATTCTCTCTATATGTGTGTGTGTGTGTGTTGCATAGAAATACTAACATCTGAATATCCCCACAAGTGTGTATGTGTGTGTGTGTGTGTGTGTGTGTGTGTGTGTGTGTGTGTGTTTATGGCTCAGTGGCTAACCTACAGTGAATACTGTTCCAGCATTAGACCATAGATGTAAGATTTTTCTCACATTAACTTATCCCCTCTTCAGAAAGCTAAGAAGTAGGTTCTGCTGCCATAGGACATGGAAAAAATGTTGGTGATTTCTTCAAGGCCACATAGATCGTAACTCCAGGGCTAAGATTTAGATTGGGTTGGGATAAGAAAGGCACTTGCCACCAAGCCTGATCATTTGAGTTGGATCCTTTGAACACATGCTGTAGAAGGAGAGAGCCAACTCCAAAAAGTTGTCTTCTGACCCCCATGTGTGCACTGTGGTACATAACATGTGTGTACACACGTACACACAGGAAGTAAGTGAAGAGATATACAAATAAGACATATTCAAGTGATCTATATTCAGAAACTGGACCCTTACCTACCATGTACTACTCTTGTGACCACATGCCATGTGCAAATATCCCATGCAGGAGAATTATATATCACATTAAATGTGTGAGCCAAAGGAGAAACATACAAACCACCCTTTGTCTATAGCTGTAATAGATGAGTCCATGTGCCTTTAAATACTTCATTCACGTTTATTAATAGTATTGAACCTGATAAAACACAAAGGTTTAAAAATCAATTTTAGTCCTATTAGACGTCTGTTTCCTACTTATTTTCTTAAAATTTGTACTCCACCCACAAAGGATTTGAGCATACATAATTAGCATTTGTATATGTATCATTAATAAGCTCTATACATGTACTTCATATAGTATAGCACAATATTTAATCACAAATGTACAAAAGACATTTTAAAACTGAAAAACAACTTAATAATGTGTATGAATAATTGATTTTACTTATAAATACAAAGACATATGCTCAAGCTGTTGGCGGTACATGTTCTGAAGAGTGATGGGCTTTTCAATGATTGTTCAACCCTTTATGATAAAGCGATTTGATGGTCTGCTTTTAAACTCAGTTTATTATATCACAATCCAGTGTTTATGGCTGACATGAGAGAGAGAAACCTAACACAAAAGTTCAAATGCTACCACAAAAAGCCTGACAACTATGTGAGGAGTATGGTGACCATTCTACAATATGTGTATATCAAACATTGAGTCTGGGGCTGGAGAAATGGCTCAGCAGTTGCGAGCCTATAACGCTCTTACAGAAGACCTGAGTTCAGTTCCCAGCACCTGTGTTAGGCAGTTCACAGCTGCCATAACTCCAAGAAATCTGACGTCTTTTTCTGGCCTTCTCAGGTACCTGTACTAACTTGCACATACCCTTGTGTATGCGCGACTACACACACACACACACACACACACACACACACACACACACACACACAAAATCTAAAAAGTAATTTTAAAAATCAAACTTATGCTCTATTATTTATATGTAATTTTTATTTGTAAATTTAAAGATGGTGATAAAACAAAATTCAAACTAAAAGCCCTTCAGCTGTTGAATGGATAAAACCCGTGCGATATATCAGACAATGGAATGTCACCGCATCATACCATGGAATGCAATTGTGGTGTGTGTTGTGGCATGGGTGTGCCTCAGCAGCATGCTGAGTGAAGGAAAATAGACACAAAGACCCCATGCAGCATTAGCCCTTTCACATGAAGCCTCCCTGATAGACAGACTCCACAGAGAGACAGAATGAAATATTGGTTGCACACGGCAAGTATGGGAGGCATAGGAACATAACCACTGAGGAGCAAATCTTCACATGGCACCAGGAATTGCTCTCCAATGTGACTTTTGATAGTGATGTCAGAACTCTGGTGTAGCTGTTAGAGAATTCAGAAAGTGGGGGCTGGAGAGATGGCTCAGTGGTTAAGAGTATTGCTGCTCTTCAAGAGGACCAGGGGTTCAATTCCCAGCACCCATAAGGAAGCTCACAACTGTGTATAACTCCAGTCCTAGAGGATCTGATG